ACGTACTTTATGCCGTCCGCTCCGTTCTCGAGTACCGTGCAGTCGTTAATGTGCGTCATTCCGTACGAGCTGTTTACGTAAATTCCATATCCTGATCGGAAGCATCGTCGTCCTTTATTTGTTCAATTTGATTTACTTAAAATTGTCTTAAAAAAAAAAAAAAAAAAAAAAAAAACCCGCGTTACATACCTTTGTTGTGTTGCACAGTGCAGTTGTTTATAGCGACCGGCGCGTCCGGCGCGGTAACGTTGATACCTGTAAGAGCGGAACGGAGAACAGAAATCGATTCCATTCTCGGCGGCACGCCTTCCACGTGAATCGCCGATGTCACGTTGTTCTCTCTCCCAGTCCCGGCATATCTGTTTGTCAAATCAAACACGACAAGATTTTACATTAAGCCTCTAGCGTACTAACGTCCATCGATATTTTTGCGCGAAGATACTCACTCGATCACTACATGCCGTAAAACAGACCGGGACAGACGCACGTTGAGCGTGTTCTCTTGAATAAGTTGCGTGTTGTACAACGCGTTCTCGAATCGTAATCCTCGCCAATGCTTGATCGCCGTGGTTGCGCCATCGTGATAAGGCGAGCAAGAAATACCCAGATCCGGATGGTAATCTGCAATTTTTTGACAAATAATTTGTGTAAAAAAGCTTTTTGTATTTTTAAACAAATAATTTTTTTAGATAACATTAAAAAAATTCTCACTAAAATCTTGGCGCAAATCCGCTTTATTCGATCATGAAAAATGAAATGTCTGTGTGTCGCGCCTTTTCGCTCACAATTGCGAAACGCGAGTGTGATGACACCGATTCTGATGAAACGACGAAGGAATTTGCAACTCACCGCAAACACCGGCGCCCAATTGTCTCTCCGACCAACGTTCGCAACTGGTCAGCTCGGACTCAATGCCGCGACAGCCTGGGTCCTCGTAAAGAAGACGCGGCTTGGACGGCCACTGTCTGTCGATCCATGACCACCACTGTCCGCCCTGATAACCGAGCTGTCGGCAAGCTGTTTCCAAGTCCGCGCGAGTCCAGCTGCAAGATGCGCGAGAAGAGATTTTAATTACATGTACAATATCTGCGGCGTTATCTCCTCATTGTTGTACGTGTGTTACTACAAGCAATACGTTTGTCGGTTACGTACTTTCGCGAGTTCGTGCAGACGGAACGCCAGTGGCCTCGGTGGAAGAGCTGCAGTCTTCCCGTTAACGGACTCGGTCCGTCGACTAGACGTATCAGAGGAGGTGATGTCTGACTATCCTGCGTTTTCACTTCCGCCGCGGTTAAGACAATCGGATCGTGTGCGTTGCCCTTAACAGAAAACAGGAAAAAAACAATTTAATTACGTGTGTCTAAACCTAATAAATAAAAAACCTATAAATAAGTTCTTCCCTAATTAAAAAAAAAAAAAAAGTAAAATATTGGATTAAAATAACAGAAGATAATCTTCGCAGTTTGAAGATCGAGAACATCTCTCAGAATTTTTTTTACTGTAGTTTTTTGTTTTCGTTCTCAGTTTACGCCACGAATCTCGCGCGAGGGCCGAAAAATTCCAGTTACGCAGCTGATCCGTGCCAAGAGCGCGCGTTGCCGAAGGTCTCGGCACTTCTTCTCGGGAGTCTCTATAAGCGGATTACCGAGGTCGTCGGGTTAATCGTGCGGGTCAAGAACCGTCGGTTGACGCGTGACCTGAAACGCATCGCTTAGAAGAGCATTTTAGAGAAGCGGCGCGGTGCTCTGAATCACCTCGAGCACGGATCGTCGTTTCGCGCATCCCGTTCTTAATCATCCGATTAATACTTTCAGCGTACCACGCGCGAATAAGAAGAAGTATATTCATTTACAGGGACTCTCGGACTGCTCGTCGTTTTCCCTTTAAACGTGTTTTAGGACATTTAATCCTCTGTCACGTACGATAGCGCCTAACACACAATCGTATCTGCTCCTATATATCACAGGTGGAACTTGATAAGCCGCGCAGCGGCGGCGTGCGCGGGTTAACATCGTTGAATAAACTCGTCGTTATCTGCTTATCCCTGTGAAAACATCGAACGGGGAGAGCACAGATACAATTTTTTCAATAAGAGATTCCGATTTTTTTTCCTCCGCTTTCTGGTTTTCGTACCGAGTTACTCACAATTTTTGCGAGAATCAAAATGTGAGTCACCGCGCGTTTTGCGAAACATTTTCCTTCACTTTTCCTTTAAATTACAAAGCGATTTCAAACGAGTTTCAACAGTATGTTCAAAAATATCGCAGATATTTTTTTTAACGTGTCCTTTTCAAACGATATCTGGTGATTTTTAAGCACAGCGTTGCTGAATCCGCAGAATATGTAATTGAATATACGCGTGCTCCTTTAAAATTGTTACCCGCGTGACGTGCAATTAAAATAGCAACAAAATAAGCGTCTAATAACACCTTGCTCAGAGGCGTATTGACGCGCGGAGTTTTTTTATATTAAAAAACACGCACGCGGGATCACAGCGCTGTGAATCCTATCTTGCTAATACGTTCACGTCCGTAATGAGACAATAAACGCGACGATGCTCGCGTGTTCGCGGCGTTTCCGGTGTTAGCCTCGGTGTGTCCTCCGCTCTGCGCGCGCGAAAGGACTCTTCCCTCTCCCTCTTTCCTGTCGTACGCCCATCGCTCTTACATTCTTTCGCGATTGTGTACACATTTATTGAATTGAATAATCGTTTTAGAATCGAGGCAAAGGCCTCGCTTCAATTGCAACGACGGACGGAGTAATTTGTCGGATAAATAAACTAAAAAGCAACGTCGATATCTTATCGGGATCGCAATCAACCTGTTATACAAGTTGAACAGATATATATTTACAATTTAAACAAAAATTACAGAGATATTTCGCACGCACGATGTGATTAAAATAAACTAAAGCAAATTTTTCAAATAAATCACTTTCTGTGAATCTGATCTCGCTTTCTTATACGGAACGAAATTACACTTGTGATTTTAATTGACGCTCGTAAAAATCTTATTACCGGAATCTACGTGGGTGATTCGTCTCGCTGGTAAAAAAGGAGAGCGATAAAAGTCGTCAAACATCGACGAAGTAGTCCGTAACGCGCGCCCAACCAAGGAGGAAGATATTCGACAGTTACGACGATCGTATAATCCGTACCGGAAGAATGAATTGAAGCCAACCGCGGGATATAAGATTACCAGGCGCGAGAAAGGATTTGTTTTTACGGGGATATAAAATTTCACGTGTGCGCTTAACGGAGTTCGCACGGTAGATTTAGTTTCTCTTTCTCTGTGCCGTAATCTATACAGTTTTCTAATATTTACACACGTAATCCTTTTCATTTAATTTATTATATAATGTGAAATAATCAATAAATGCGTAATAAAGTTATTATTATTGTTAAAGCAATTGATATAATTAGTAGTGATTAATTATTTGTATATCAATCATTGTGTGTTACATTATATTAATTATTGTTATGTTATTACTTATTACGTACACTAATTGTTTTATATTAATAAAAATAAATATATTAATAAGAATAATAATTTGTTTAATATGTTTACGTGGGGCACACTTTGAAAAGTCTCAAAATTATAAAAATTCAAACGTCAAGTGTGTGAAATCTATTTAAAATCTATTTAAAATCTATTTAAAATCTCGTTACACATCTCGACAATTTTCTCAACGCAGGAAATGTGTTCGTAATATCAATTATGAATCACGTTCATTTAAGTTTACACACATACTCATACTCATCATCTCCGCTTATGAAACTCGCTGATAACGCATATATCTTCGTTCGTATGACTCCAATCTCGTTATCAATGTTACAACGGTATCGATTTCCAACGAAAATTGACGACACACAGAGCGCCTCCGGCCGGTCGGAGTAGCGCTTTTATTATCGATAATAAAAACGCGCGTCGAGAATTTTAACGTATCCTTTCTACACCGCGCGAGCGGCGTTTCGAAATTTCACTCGGAATCGCAATCCGCAAATTGGTTTCTCAGAATCTAATTTATCATTTCTTCGAGTGCAACCTTTTCTCTCCGGGCGTAAATGTAGTATAAAACACGTGTACTACACATTTGCACGATGCGCCGCGATGAGTCACGTTCATTCAACGTATCAACCCGCGCGCGCACGCACACATACGTCTGTCGACGTATGATATTCTTTCTTCGGTAAAACTCTGCTGCAAGGATGCCGTCTGCAATTATTCACGCTCGCATTGGTGCAGACACCGTTGCGCGTATCCAATAAAGTTTCCGTACGACTGTGTGCTGCATCCTCGATTCTCTCCCTTCTTATCAGATATTTTTAATGCTGCGATGTAAAACGTAGATAAACAGAAACGGGACACACAAAGTGTGTGTTTTTTTACGCAACACATAAAAGCTTCTCTGTGTGTGTGTAGGTATATCTGTAAAACAAGTTTTGTATATTTAGCGGAGATAAAAGAGAATTGACTTAATAGTTCTACTAAAAACTCTCATATCATGATCTCGCGCGCGCGCGCGCGCGCTCCCGCCACAACGACCTGGTTGTTGTGCGAGAAACAAACTCCTCAACACCCGCGTGAGCGCACATTAGCAAACAAAAGTAACGGTTGAAAAATTCATCGCGCGCTTCATGCGTGCGCTCGAGAGACTCCGATCTTCACGGCGAATGAGAACTATTCGCACGATGTTTATCAAAAATACGGCCGAGTGAACGTAACAATGTGCGATAAAAAAACGGTGGTGTGTCGCGAGTCAGTGCGCGATGCGCAAAACTAACGCGTCGAACTCGTCTCTCAACGACAAAAGCAGAATGTTCTGAACGAAATGTGTCATTTCATGATTCTATCTGTCGCGGCAACGCTTTTCCATAAAAATATACTCGCGGACACAGAAACGCAAGCGACTTCGAAAAGAATGTTATCTTAATGGCTCGATCTTTGTCTGGTTGTTAAAATAATTAAACGACGTATTGTGTGCCACTTTGTGTGCCACGAGGGGACACTGTCGAGATGTTTTGACATAAGCGACAACAGAACCCGGACAAGAAGCCTTTGTTCTCGTCGCGGGCGAAACAACGAGCCAGCGCGTCGTATACCACCACCTCCTGGCTTTCTCCACTCTTATTCTTACGGCCTTTTTATTATGGCGTATTTTAACGAAGATTTTTTATTTACCTCGGCTGTTATGACGCCGCGAACGGTGATGCCGACCATCGGGCCGAAGTGGATCCTCACACCCGGTTCGATTACGAGCTCGCCCTCCTTCGCGACGAACAGATCCTCGCGCAGCAAGTAAGGACTCTTCGATCGCGACAGCACCCTCTGACTCCGGACGATGTGGCCGCCGCGCAGCTCGTACAGATCGCTGTTGTTCACCGAGCTCGAGTTTATCGACGGCGGTTCCGTGTAATAAATAGAATAATTTTCGTACCTATTGTTCGCCCGAGCTCCGGCCAGTACGGCCAGAACCATCAACAAAGCGTGCATCCGGTGCATCTTCCGGCGCATGTTTTCTTGTTTTTTTTTTTTTTTTTTTGTTTTCCCCTCGCCGCGTTCAGACAGCCGTTCGAACCATCGACGAGAAGTCTTTGAAACTCACTGGAAAAAGAATTGCACTGTTCTTGACTCACTGTTCGATTCGCACACCGTCGTCGTGAATATAGAAAACCGGTAACTTTAATATTCAGACGAGATCAGCGACTGGAGGGAGAGGCAATGACATTTAAAGGCAAACGGTTTTGCCTTTCCTAGGTTTCTCGACGAGTCTTGCAGATCTTCGAGATGAACTCTCGTCGCGTTCCGCTCGAGCGTGTGCAAGTACGAACACTGGAATAGAAAAAAAAGTTCGTGACGTTCGCTCGGCGCTGACGATGACTGGACTTTAAAAGGAATCATCCGTTTATCGCCAACCGATTCTCGGACCGCGTCACTCGCGGCGAATCCGATCCGTGTATCTTAGTTTCGCGCAACATATGATACTTTCACTGAGCAGAAGCTTCGGGCGACGATTAATCACGTGTGCAAGAGAGACGCTCGATCCTCTTTCGTTCGTATCTTCTTTGACGGGTTATCTCTGGGAAAAAATAATCGAAGAAGCTTTAAAAAATGAATGAACACACAGTGTGGTTTTCGAGTTTTGATATATATGAGCTAATTAATCACAATTAGAGAAAATATGAAATTTTTTTCAATTTAAAATATCCGAAATTTGTACGAGATAATCTCCCGATAGATATTTTTGTAACGATCATCGATCGCGGCAACGCTGGCTGCGTGTCTTTAAAAATTCTCATCGCGCGTCCCGACCGTTCGTCTCGTTACCGATCACCGCGCACAAACCGTTCGTCCGCATCGCGCCCTTCACGCACACGTGCGTGCGACTTGAGACAACGCGACAAAACGTCACACAAAGAGACACACACAAGGTGGGAGAATTTGCCTGCTGCTTGTCCCGCGCGGACACTTACCGATCCTACCTGAATATACACGAGCGGGTTCGAATTCGAACGTTAACCTCCTCCTCCCTCCGCTCTTTCACGCGCGAGGGATCGCGCGCGCGGTGCCAACGGACCCGTAACTCTCCGCCGTTACTCCGACAAGCTTCAACCTCGTTGATTCCTCTCGTTTTCATGTAAATCGCAAGCGCGAGTTCGCTCCGCTGAGTTTATCCGCGCGTTTCTTCTCTCTTTTGTGTTCCGTCCGTTTCACAATTCTTCTTCCTCGGTTCTTTCTTCCACGGTTTTGTTCGAAATCGGATCGGAGTTGCTTCATCGATCACCCTCGATCACGAAACCGTCGATGGGTACTCGTGAATCATCGACTACGCCGATCGATCGATCACCAAGTCGCGCGATAAATCCTTTCGGCCGACGGAGCGACGCCGTTTTGTCGATCATCCGCAAAACAAGACAAGGAAAGCCTCTATCTGGATCGTTCTTTCTGTCTCTCTCTCGCTCTCTTTCTGATACTCTGTGGGTGCGGTTTTGTTTCTTCTTGCGTGTACGTGCAACACGCGCGCTTACCGTAGATCGTTCCTTGCGCGATCCCCCGTCGCCGTCTCTCACAGAGGCACCGCAGCCACTAACGTCGTCGCCATGGTGCAACTCGTTGCAATTCGCTCACTGGTAGCGCGTTGACGCTACGATACACCTACTACGTCCAAGTGGTAGAGCAAGGGTCACGTGACGCCGTCGAGCGTATACGTCACGCAGGTTGTGAAACAGGTGAGTCCGTCCACTCGACTACGCTCTTGTACTAGGTGTCTTGAAATTATCTTTGTGCCGTTCACGAGAGAGAGAGACTGCGAGATTCCTTTCCTTTCTCATCCATCTGAGACTCGTGATTGACGTCTTCGTTTTCAATAATCTGTCCCTACGATTTGTTAATGAATGAATATATTAAAAAAATAAACAGCTAGCTGAAATGAAATAAATAGAAGAAAATTATTAGCCACATGGACAAGATTACATTCTAAAAATTTTTTTATACACGTATTGAAAGTCTACGAGTGTGGCCAAGATAGCCCGAGATAGCGCAAACATTTGAGAGACATCTTAAAAAATGTCCTAAAGAGAATTAAATGTCCCATCAAAATTACTTTAGTACTCATCTTTTTTAGATATACTTTTGCATCTTTTAGTACCTTCCGGACTTTTCGCGCCGCCCGGGAGATCCTCTATTTTTTGAAACGGAAAAAGAGTCTTTTCGCACAAATTGCCCACAGAAGCTGCGGTCAAAAGAAACATCCGATGATGTTGGAACACACATTGTATAATGTCCATTCATCGTCGCTGTTCATCGCATTTTTACCTGCGTATATGTTTGCGGGTGCTACCAGTGAAAATAAGGCTTTTTTTTTTTCCTCAAAACGAAGAAAACTCTTCACCGCCATAATTGAAGCCGGGAAAATTGTATCTCCCGGAAACAAAATGTCTACGCGTCGTCGGGACGTCGTCGGCAAACCTGTTTGGAAAATCGAAACGATCAGTTTTCGAATAGTTTTCAACGCGTTTCGATTTCTGCTAACCTTTCGTAGCAATTTGACGAGATCTATGAGGAAATGGGGAAATCCGATGTTTTCACGACGTTTATAAACGGCGTGAGATATGCGATGGGTTAAAGTGTTCGAATGTCTTCTAAAAAAAAAACAAATATCAGAAGACAAAAGAATTCCTTTCCGTAGGTCTGCTCCGCGGGGACGCGCATTCTTCACATTCTCCGTAGATTTTCGTCAGCTACAGAGGGCGTCACTTGAAACGAAGCCAAGAAGAGCTCGTTTTATCTCATGTTGAAAAGTTCACCAATTGCTTTATCGATAAACACATCAAATGGTTTCTCACTCTTGGTGTGTGTGGAATTCCTTTATGTGTGTTTGTTTATCATTTCAGGTTAGTACCTCGGTGCCAGGACTTGAGAATCACGACTGTTCTCATATATATATATATATGTCAAATGTAAATAATAATAAATATAAAACGAGAAGAGCGGGGAAGAGAGTAGTGAAAAGTGCAAAATTTCTCCGGTTCCCAGTTTATAATCAAACGTTTGCAACAGTGTTTGTGATCGATAGAGATAGATCGTATTTAAATTGATTTCTTGTCTAGACAATATTGTGCTTGTCTCATCAACTTTCTTGCTTGATTTGATTTTGTTGTATATCTATTTTTTTCTGACAATACATTCGTATTTTGCTTGTGACAACATAAAACGTGGCTATAATCTCCGCTACAGTAGACTCACATCACTTGTCACGATTGTCCATACTGCTCTTTAAACATGACTAGCTTGATGGTTGTTTAGTTTCTATTTAATTCTTTTTTGAACGTTTTTTTTTTTTTAATTGACCACTTTGTGCTTTTCTTGTGTAACATATTTACAATAAAAAAAAAAATCACCATTGTTACCAAGCTGTATAATATATAAGTATACTGTTAAAGTTTATAATCACACACACACACACATTGATTTTGCAGCAAATGTTAACTGGTTCTGTATATTGTAAGTAACAAGTTGCAAAGACAAGAAAAACTTACTTCTTTTGAAATCAACTAAGTACTTTGTTAAGTACTTTATTACATTTGTCAAAATGACTTCATTTGTAGCCGATATATTGGTTACAGCAGGTAATATTTGCAAATTTATATATATATGTTTAAATCCTTTAAATACTCAATGACTAATATTTGTAATTACAATAATGTGTCAAATAGATTAATTTATGAAATGACATTATGACATAATAAAAATTATAAATATATGTGAAGATGATTATGAATCTTGTTTACAGGCAAGCTGAAAAAAGAAAATCTTCAAAAAAGTATTGTAGAAATACAGAAGGAAATCCGAAAACTAGAATATGAAGTCAAAGATTTCATGGATGAAAATTATGTTGAGTTCAATGCAAAATTAACAAGAGACATGCATCTGGTTAAAAAGACCGAGCAGCTGTTAGAAGAATCGGATATTTTAAATACAAAAATTAATGATCAAGTATGTATATGTCATTTTTCACACTTTTTCAGAGTGAGTTTAATAAAATAAAACGAGTATTCGCTTATTTTTATTATATAGATCAAGATAAAGTTGTCTGGTTCGAAAAAAGAGTTACACACTCTGTTAGAAATGTTAAACGAATCAAACATTAGCCTGCAATTAACTAATCAATTAATACAACTGCACGAGTATATAAAATCAATAAAAAAAACACAAGAAGAAGAGGAATATGTTGATACCGCGGTGACTCTGCAACAAATGCATTCCCTGTTAAACAATCCTCACGATCTGTTATGCGATCTTGAAATCTATTCTGCGATCAAGGACGAGTACTGCAATCTATTTCGTTCGTTTTCGATAGAAGCGTCCAACCTGTTGAATGATCGAATTTGCTGGAGCAACGAGATAATCAACGACAAGCCAATGAACTCCCTCACCATTAAGAGCGAGTATGACGATATACAAAAACTGATGCAAGGACTGCATATTATTGATCATCTTGAAAATAATCTCCAATTACTCTCGACAAAATTGATGGACTGTATAATCAATCCCATCATTCACGATCATTGTTCGGTGCTTGTTGTCAAAGAAAAAGTGTTTATCGTCGAAATATTGGAGAGGAAGAAGTTACCGTGTTACGAGAGCGTATTGTATAATTTGACACTGCTCTTCAAGTTTATTCATCAGCATTTGAATTTGACAGTAACGGACGACGAGACGTTTCTGCAGAGATTGCGACCTCATTTGCTGGAGCAACTGTCTCACTCGTTAACGACAGATTGCATCTCGCACACTATTCCAACTTCTAACGCAGATCTCAAAAACTTCGAACCTGTTGTTAACACGACAAACGAATTTCAAGATTACTTGATAGAAATCGGTATTGTGTAGTATTTTTTTTTTCCGGCAATAATAAAAGTGTGTGATGGTCATGTCAAGCGTTTAATTAACCGTGAAATTTCAGGATTTCTTCCTAAAGACCAACTCTTCCTGTCGAAATATACCAGTAACATTGACAAGCTTTTCATTGATAGGATATGTCAGGACTTCTTGGTCAAAGCTAGGATTATAATGAGAAAAGATCTGCACGATTCCGTTCGATATGAACCACAAGTAATCATTTAAATTATTGTGTTAATAGAGTGAGAAAGCGCGATGTTTCGATTTGTAATTGTTCTCTTATCACAGGATCCGCCTAAACTTATTAACAAAGCATTTAAAAATGGATGCGATGTAACCATCGAAAAGAGAATAAGCGATATGTCGTTTTTTCTCCCAAAATGTCAGATAAGGTATGTTTGATTAAAATTCTGAAATTTATAATATTTATATTTATACACACGTACATATGTATATAATGTAATATTTTATCACTCGTTTCAGCAAAAATGCGCAAGAAACATTAGAATTAGCGAGAACGATACTGGACGAAGCGTGCAACAGTTTGGACGCTTGCGCTGTTAAATTATTTCACACGTGTAGAAATGTGTTTGACATGTACGCCGGATTGGTACCGGAACATCATAAAAAATTCCTGGAAACAATACCGCAACAAGTTGGTAAGAATAATAAGAAAAAAAAAAAAATGGTGTTCTTAACATAAAAAGTTAACATGTTATTTTATTCTAATATCAATTATGTTTTCAGCTCTATTTCATAATAATTGTATGTATCTCGCTCACCATTTGCTCACATTGGCACACGAATACAGAGACAGATTCTCGAAGAATGTGCAAAAATATAATTTAACATTCGCGGATCAAGTCACGGTGCTTCGCGATGCTGGCTCCCAGTGTTTCTTAGAACACATGAAGTATCAGAGAAATATAATTTTCGACATCATCAAAGATTCAGGTTTTGTAATTTTAGTTTGTAAACTGCAGAAAAAAAAACATATTCTCGTTAACTAAACCGTTTTCCGAGCAGGTTTTACGGGATTGGGTCTAACGGCCAAATTAGATCCCAGCACCGAACGTGCGTTGAGACAATGTATCAGGCAATTGGAATTATTGAAAACCGTCTGGCTGGATGTATTGCCGACAAATGTTTACTGCAGAGCTGTTGGTTAGCCGCCGATTCTCTCGCTTCGTTTTTACATATTTTGCTAGCCTAGGCTCTTCTAATTTTTTTACATCATTGTCGTAGGATGTATAACAAATTCCATGATTGATGACATTATAACGAAGGTCGTATCCGTCGAGGATATTCCAGCTAAAGTAGGAGCAGAACTGGTGTCTTTATTCAACTTGGTGGAGAAACGACTGCCCCAGATATTTCCCGTAAGTGTATAATTAAATAGAGAAAGAGAGAGAGAGAGAAAGAGGAATGCAAATTTATATCAAAGATTTAATTTGATATAAATTTTTATTTTTTAATATTGCGAAAGTACATTTTTTTTTTTTTTTGCATACAGAAGACACAGAGTTATACTCGGGAATCCCCCAGCTGGTCTCTGTAAAATTAAAGAATGTTATTTAATAAGACAGACGTGCACACATGCACATGATGATATGCATAATCCACATAATTTTGTTTCACAGGATCAACAGATTCAGCAGCATGTGCGTAAGTGGGGAAAATTTCTGGAATTGATTAAGGTGCTCGGTGCATCCCTGAAAGAAATCGAACTCAGATGGGACAATGGGAAGGGACCGTTGGCACAGGAATTTACCGCCGCTCAAGTTAAACAACTGATCCGAGCGTTATTCCAAAATACCGACCGAAGATCTAATCTCTTAGCTTCTATAAGATAAGAAATTGTTTGTTAAATATTAAAAAAAAAAAAAAAAAACCAATTTAGAATACACAGAAGTGACGAATATAAGTTTAAACTTGCGTTCCGTGCGAATGATATCGAGATATTTATATTATACCCGAGACGATGTTCATATAATTTTATATACCTTTTTATACGAGAAAAAAATTATATGTATCGTCATTATAAAAATTAAAATACAAATTGCCACGGTATGCTTTGGCATTACGATTATCTAATCTAATGTTTTTTGAGACACAAGACGTAATCGCAGTTCGGCTTTTTGAAAACTGACATATCAAGACACTTAACACTGAAAATCGTACATAGGATTTTTTAGCGGCTTAAATATATTTTTTATACGTGACTCGTTGTAGAAAACATACAGAAGAATCCGAGGTAATTAATTTTTTTCAGTGTTAAGTAGAATACTGTTTAATGCACAAATTGTATAATATAATAAAGACAAATGTTTTTAAATAACATATACTTACGTGAAAAAAGATGCTTATTTAAACTTAGTTACATATCTCTAGATTGAAGGAATCTAAATTTCTTCTTATTGAGGGTTTGAATTCGAAGTATTAAAAATTGCACATGAAGAGAACGTCAGTGTGCAAACAGAAATGTATCACTTGAAAGATTGAGATGTGATGATACATAATGAAATTTTACCGTACATTTTTATGTTACTGCAAAAAATTCAAGTTCTTGTACACAGCCCCATTTAAGCAATTTTGATTTAAAAAAAACAAAAAAAAAAAAAGAAAACCATGATATTAAGTCATAATAAATTATAGAAAAAAAATCAGACAGACAAATAGACAGACACAGACAGACAGACAGACAGACAGACAGGCAGGCAGGGTGGCGGGCAGTAGTGAGAGCGCAAATCATTTAATATCTCAATTTCCAATTCCATATCATTTACAGTGGATGCAATATACATCATTACTATTATTTTTTTTTTTTTT